CCGCCCCCGGACATAGACGAGACGGAGCTTCATCTGCCTCGGGAGACACGAACGACAATAGCCCAACTTCGCTCTGGCTACTGCAGCAGGTTAAACTCCTACCTGAGTAGATTGAATGAGGATGTGCCACATGAGTGTCCGGAATGCGGGGAGACCCCACATGACTCGAAACATATCTTCGCATGCCCGGAAAACCCGACAACCCTAACGGCCCTGTCCCTGTGCACCAACCCTACAGAAGCTGCACGCTTCCTAGGGCTGCCGTTAGTGGAACTTGACGACAACGACTGAGATACCAACCGTCCAGGGCGGGGTTGTTGTAGCCGCTACAACAACGACAACAACAACAACGGACACAACGATCGATAGTTTCCCAGCTCTATCGAATGGGCAGGACCTAGATATTTCGAAAAAGTATCGATGCATCAAAAATATCGAAATTTGTCTGATCGTTGAATTGACATTCTTCTTTATCCACACCTCTTTCTTCAAAATCTTCTCAGCTCATTAATCGGCAGTAAAAAAATAATTGGGGTGTTCACAGTTCGTTCCAAATAGTGTCTGAAAATGTAGACGTCTACATTTTAAGACGTTTTCTAACCGTAAAATCTGTGGTGTTGTTGTTTCCCATACAAAATTGGAAAACGACGCCGTCTACATTTTGTCACACTCAAAGGTATGTTTTTTACGCGTCTACATTTTGCAACCTCGCAGCAGGGTTGCATTATGGCAATACTAATCACATTTTTTTTATTTATTGGGCACGTTTTTTGTATTTGCATTTAATTTGAGCGCAATTTCTGATGAAAAGAAACAAATCAAGGAAAAGAAATAACAAATATTAGGAATTGGTAATTAAGTTAAATAATTACAATTTTTCAGAAACAAAATCGAAAGGCGATATATAAAAAATGCACGCAAAGAGGAAATGTCTGGCAACACCAGCAAAGTTTTGAGACGATTTTGCGACGACTGCTAGAAAGGGGTGCTCACAGTTTGATGCTAAAGATGTCTCAAAATGTAGACGCCTACATTTTCAGACACAATTTGGAACGAACTGGGAACACCCCAAATGGTAAACTGCTGCATAAAGTTCTATTCCTACGAATGTTGTCGAATGTTTTATTTTTTTCAACTGCGATAATATATACATTTGGATTGGTGAACTTATACGAGGTGTAATATTAGCAGCGAGAAGAAAGATTTTATACTCAGGAAGCTTCTGTAATTCACTCCCGAGTGAATTTCTAAAAAATTCACTTTATATTGAAAGGGGTGAAATTCACCTGGAAATGAATTTGCCTTTTAAAATTTCTATAATTTTACAGAATGTGTAAGAAAATACCGCGGGAAAGCTATTTTATTACTTCACCTTTTATAATTTCTCCATGTACTGCTTTGGTAACTTTCGATACGTGGGCATTTCATCGCGTCCATTTTTAACGTTGACTGATGAAGAGTGTTTTCGCATAAGTATTTCATAACTACTTGGCAACTCCACTCATAATAAATACAAACAAAAACCTGTTTTAATTGTGCTTTTTAATTCTGAGTTTTCCATAATGTCTGACGCTTCTAAAAATAAACAAAAATCTAGGAAGACTAATGGATGGGAAGAGGCAGGATGCGAGTTTTATCAGGAAAATTACTGTGCAGAATGGGATGGCTTCGCAAAAAATCCTATTGCAATAACTACGTTGCTACCATCAAAACAAAATAGACTAGGTTAGTATGTTACATCTTTGGATTGTTTAATACAAAGTAAACTTTGCTTATTAATTCCGGAGCTTAAAGCGAATACAAGACAAAATTCCATATCATAACTTTATATTTTTAAATATACAGGATTATCTTGTTTTGTTCTACATGCACACATCTATTTATGCAGATGCATATATACGTACATTGCACTACTTGATACATATGTAGTACTCAGTTTCACATATTATTCACGATATATTTTTCTTTGACATCTGGAAAGGTACATCTAAACGAAATTACACTCAAAGGGATCGTAAACATAAAATTTGCTGGCAGCAGTTAACATCTACTGGTCCGCGGAATTATCAGCAAAATGAAGGACAGTTTTCACTTTTGCCAGATTTGTCTCAAATTATTAACGACGAAGAGCATATCTGGGAAGAGATGTTTCAGATCAAACAGTTGCCACTATCAATGCACCAAAAAAAAGAATTCAAGTCCGATTTGCAGGTAAGAAAACTAAATAATAAGAACTCGAAATCTATATACATATGTGCATACTACATACATACTTATGCTTAGATATGTAAATATTCCCCTACAAGACACGATCTGGGATAACGGGTAATGCTTCCACTTGGTAGCGCATGCCGCCGCGGCAGCTCCTCAAATAGAAATGCCATGTGAAGTTCATATCCACTTCGCCTTTCCAATGCAGTGGGGACCTTCCCCTTCCTGTGCTAGCACCAGGAGATTCTGAGTTAAATACTTTCAGAGCTGGATCGTTGGTGTCCATCGGATGTTGTCATTGTCCATGCTTCTGCGCCATATAAAAGCACGGACATGATAAGTGACATACGAGTCTGGTTTTCGTACGTGGAAAGAGGAAATGCCTTCTGAATTGCCTACTCAGTTGAAGTGCAGCATTTTCTATTTTCTCGAAATTGTAACTGGCAACAGTGATATTCCCACGACAGCCGGTTCTACGTACCGGAATGTCTCGGGTTTTCCCCGACCAAGGGGCGTTTTTTTGGCGATCTAACCTCGTTTAGGTCAGCGAAGTATCTCAGAAGTTGTTCGTCCATAGGGCTACATTTGCTATGTATTCTGCTCAGGGCTGGCATCAAGTCAAACCCAGGGACAGAAACTTACATCTGTTGCCAGAGACGACTATACCACAACTCCACCTCAGTCAAGTGCAATGCTTGCGACGGGTGTTGTCACCTCAGAGTCTGCTCCCGCCTAAGGACTCATCGGCAGTGGACCACATCATTTGGATATTCCGTAACGTGTCATCAGTCAAGTGCAACACCTGCCTTGGCTGGTGCCACTTTAGGGCATGTTCAGGCCTGCGTACCACGCGAGATTGGACGGGGAACTTCGAGGGCCCGTGTTGCGCTGCTCGGTCGCAGACTTCAATTGCGACGCCCCCCACCACCACCACAGGGCGGCAATCACCTCAGCAGCACACACAGCCAACGGCGGCAAGAACATACACCTCACTTACACCCCACATCACGACACGTCTCCCGAACCACATGAAGCTCCTTCAATTCAACTGTAACGGGCTACAGAGCAAGATTGAAGAGATAACCGTTTTCATGTGTCGGCATGGTATATTAATAGCTGCGGTCCAAGAGACGAAGTTGCACAGCAATTCAACTTTGTTGAATTGCGCCGGGTACAACGTGCACCGTCGAGATCGCGAGCGAGATAATGGTGGTGGCTTAGCGTTCATCACGCACCACACCGTGCAGTATCGTCTTATCGAAGCAGACATCGACCGCAGGGATACCACCCTAGAATGTCAGGGCATCGCTATCCGGTCAGGCGATGTCGAGCTCGAAATATTTAACATATACATACCCCCTGTCACCTGCTGCCCGGCAGGATATCACCCTGATATAGGTGCGCTCCTCAGAGGTGAAAACCGTATGGTAGTAGGTGACTTTAATGCGCACCACGATCTTTGGCACTCAAGCCTGTCAAACGATCGTAGGGAAACAGACGTCAGGAGGCATCTATATGAACTGACGGACGAAGTCCAGAGGTCCATTAAGCAACCTCTGGACCCGACAGCGTACAGACAGGCCCTGAACGGCATTCACAGGGACTCAGTCTCGAGTTATGTAGACTCTAGACCTGTGAATGCCGTTCTAGGCATACCACCCCCGGACATAGACGAGACAGAGCTTCATCTGCCTCGGGAGACACGCACTACACTCGCACAACTTCGCTCCGGCTACTGCAGCAGGTTGAACTCCTACTTGAGTAGGTTGAATGAGGATGTGCCGAATGAGTGTCCGGCATGCGGAGAGACCCCACATGACTCGAAACATCTCTTCGCATGCCCGGAAAACCCGACAACCCTAACGGCCTTGTCCCTGTGGACAAATCCCACAGAAGCTGCACGCTTCCTAGGGTTGCCGTTAGTGGAACTTGACGACAACGACTGAGATACCAACCGATCTGGGCGGGGTTGTTGTAGCCGCTACAACAACAACAACAACAGAAACTTACATCTGTTGCCAGAGACGACTACACCACAACTCCACCTCAGTCAAGTGCAATGCTTGCGACGGGTGTTGTCACCTCAGAGTCTGCTCCCGCCTAAGGACTCATCGGCAGTGGACCACATCATTTGGATATTCCGTAACGTGTCATCAGTCAAGTGCAACACCTGCCTTGGCTGGTGCCACTTTAGGGCATGTTCAGGNAACACCTGCCTTGGCTGGTGCCACTTTAGGATATGTTCAGGTCTGCGCACCACAGGAGATTGGACGAGGAACTTCGACGCCACTCACTACCACCACAGGGTGACATCCTCCACAGCAGCGTACACAGCCAATGGCGGCAAGGCAACACACATCTCTCACCCCCGCATAACAACACGTCTTCCGAACCACATGAAGATCATACAATTCAACTGTAACGGACTTCAGAGCAAGATCGAGAAAATAACCGTTTCCATGGGAAGGCATGTTATATTGATAGCTGCGGTCCAAGAGACGAAGTTGCACAGCAATTCAACATTGCTGACTATGAACAACGACGCACCCACCACGATTATCTGCAGCTCGCCAGTTATAACAATAAACAGCGCTGGTCTGATAAACAGCGTATCATGGCGACCTATGCTGACTTTGGCCTCAGACCATCTGCCCATAGTCATCTCGATCGATAAACCAACCGACTTTGCTTCCGCGGAACAGCCTATATCAACTTTTCTGCGCCTCTTCACACCAACCGACGTACACCTTGATGAACGTAAGTTCCGCAGAGTTGTCACTGCTCCTGCAGCTCGCTTCGTACCGGCAGGATGCATTACGGACCCCCGTCCAAATTTCCCTGCCGATGAGCGTGACAACCTTCATCAGGCCGATCCCGGTAATCTCCGTATCAGGGATCTCAACGCAGAGATTCGGCAGCATGTGAACGTACATAAGCGGAAAAAGTGGGAAGAGCATCTGAAGACTTTAACTTCGCCTCTGGTGTGAGTAAGCTTTGGTCAACCGTGCGGTCACTATCGAATCCGACGAAGCACGACGACAGGGTCGAAATTTATTTTGGCGACCATGCTTCGTCGGACCCTGAGCGATGCGTGAGCTAGTTTAGCCGGCAATTCATACTGGATACTCCGGCGGACAAAGCCCAGCGTCGAGTGACCAGAAGGCTGCACAAACTGCCTGCAAGAGTAGCGTACCTAACGGAGGTCCTCAATCTGTTAATAACCAATCTGGTCATCCCAGACACCTGGAAAATGGGGGAGTGGTCCCACTGCCTAAACCGGGAAAACCGAGCAACTTTCCTTTCCCCGGTAACGAAGACAGTGGAGGCCCTTCTTCTCCCGCACTACACAAACTACCTGACCCCAGCGAATCATCAGCATGGGTTCTGTAAAGTGCACGACACAACAACAGCATTTACACCATAAACACCCACATAACTCGTGGCCTTAACCGAAACCGCCCCTGTGAGAAAACAGTCCTAGTAGCGTTGGATCTGTCAAAGGCTTTTGATACCGTCAGTCACTCCACCCCCTCAGGGAGTGGTCAACATCCGTCAGCAGCCTTCAGAGACAAAAACAGCAAACCAAGAAAATTAAACAGTGGGTTCCACAGGGTGGTGTCATAACCTCACTAATAATTATTATATCTCAAAGCTCCCTCAACCACCAGAGGGAGTCAATATTGTCTCCTATGCTGACGATTGCTCGATAATGGCGTCTGAGAATGGAATTGATGACTTGTGCGCGAAAGTAAAGGGTTACCTCGCCGAGCTTTCTCGCTTCTTCACTGCAAGGAGTCTAACCCTCTCCCCAACAAAATCCTCGGCAACCTTATTCACCACCTGGACGAAGGAGGTCAGACTGCAACTGGGTATTCACGTCGATGGTGAACCAATACCGACGGTGAATAACCCAAAGTATGGCATCGCCCGCCGTTGAGTGTAGACGTGTTTTCGGTTGCTCTCTTAATCTGCTTTGTTTTCTTATCGTGTCAAACACATACATACGTACATATTTTAAATATGGACTTTTGCGGAAAGTGCATTAAAATGTTTGCAAGGAATGATTCCTCAGTTGTGCCCTGCAGTGGTTTTTGTAAAAAACGTTTTCATAGGGCCTGTATATTCGCTACCTGTGTCGTGACTGTGTTGATGCTCCGGATAAAATTTGCGAAGCCTTTGAATCGATTAGTGTCACTCTGAAGATGGGCTTAGAATCAATCATGATTGCTTTTGAAATACAATTTAAAGACTTAGTCACGCAGATTGACTTTTTAAAAAGTCAAGTTGTTCTAAAGTCTGCAAATGGTAACAAAAATTCCAATTGTATTGATGCGTTAACAAAAGAAGTAAATGCCCTGAAAAGTGTTGTTGTTGATGTGACCACTTATAACAATAACAACAAAAGTGGCTTCACCGGTTTCCGATCTTCGGACATGGAATTGCTCACATTCTCGCCGCTCCCAAATCCGATGATCAGTAACGGCGTATCCACGTTTATCTCTACTGCTAGTCGTTTGGCGGCGGCAGGTCCTGGGGAAAAATCAACAAATACTTTGAAAGCTGGCACAAATCATAATAATAATAATAATGTTCCTAATCAGCATAACTCTGCCTAACTGCCATACCTAAATAAAAGCGTCAGCGTTGTCCGGCTGTCAAAAAATTCTCATGCCCATACAATTTGTATGAAACATACCGAAACAACGCGGCGTCAACGCTGAGCGGTTGGAAAATCCGATTTTGACAGGGCGTTAGGTATTGAAGTTGGCTGCAGAAAACGGCGAAACTGTCATTTTCGTGTTACACACAAACAAACCTATGCTTATTGTTGGTGTTATTTCTGCATTTGACGTAGCGTTGACGCTTTTGTTTAGGTATACCACTTCGGCGCTAACGCTAAGCGTCAGAAACCTCTCCGCCCAAAGCTTTTGTTTAGGTATGGCAGTTAGTGCCAAACTGTCAAGTGAATGCTGTAAACGATGCTCTTTCATCTGCTTCGT